CAATTTCCTCCCTTGACCTTTACTGAAACTCACTGCTCTCAAATTGGAACCAATAGCTGACCGTAAATCACACAAGGGTTGTGGTTTTCCAGCCTTGGAAACCCGCTGAAGGGTCAGCTATGAGTTGTTTCCATTAAAAGTCGTGAATTTGAATTCGGAGGATTAGTGTACTTCTGGCATGTTACTATGAAAAGGGGCCAATCCTCTGGCAAGATATCACACTTGGAAAAGTAGGTCCTTGAAAGAGGAAGACCCTTCAAGATGGGTCGACACAGTAATTCCAAGGACGGGTTTAATCAGAGGGGCAGGGTTTCATCCCGTCACGCAGGGCTGCTATGGGTTGGAACCAACTTGATGGCATTTGATATGGCTTAAGATGGGCAGCGGAGGTTCAGAGGCCGACTTGCCCCGTTCATGAGGGAGGGCTAAACTTATTTTGACCAATGACTGCATGTGCAGCCCACTACCTGCTGGTGGAAACGTGCGCGCTACTGTGAAGCTGAATGTTTCAGAGAATCCTGTGCAGATTGCCTGAGTCCTGGACCACTGAGAGCAGCTAACAAGGGGGTGCTTCAGAATCGGACTGTCCGTGCACACCCTGGCGGCCACTGTGGCTTTACAGGGTAACCCATGCTGTCCTCCGAACCAGTTCAACGCTAAACCTCCAGGTTGAGACGTGGGAGCTGGTAGATTCGAATCGCCTGCTTTTGGGTTGGCAGCCTCCTTATCCTCGAGGGCCACCAGAGGTCCCTCTGCCTTCATCAGCACAAGAAATTAACACTCCCACAGGAACCAGTAAGTCAGCTTCCTTCAACACACCAGCAGGTGAGCAGCTTCGTTTTCTGTCCGTGCTGTGTGCACATTTACGGGGGACTGGGGTAACACCCTGGTGACGGGTGTTAGCGGCCATCAAGTCGACTCAGTTCTGAACCGTCCTAGCCTGTGCCATCCTCCAATCTGACATAGTCCAGCCTGTTAACCACCATCAGTCCACCTGGTGGAGGGTCTTCCTCTCATCACACCTCCACCTTTCCAAGCATGGTGTCCTCTTCAATGAACCACCTCTCCTAGCAACATGCCCAAAGCGTAGGAGATGAGACCACCCTTGCCTTCAAGGAGCACTGTTCCTTCACATATTTGTTCTCTTGGCAGTACACAGGGTAATCCGTACTCTTCTCCAGCACTCCAGCAAAAAGGGATCCTTTTGTCCTGTCATCCTTGGTGTCCAGTTCTCAGATACATAGCAAATAACCAAAAACACCATGGTCTGAATCAAGTGCACTTTTTAAAAAAATTTTATTATTTTCTGTGTGTGTGTACCGTCAAATTTGACCTGACTGGTACAGGAGGAGATGGCCCCTCCTTCTCCAGCAGAGAATCTGGTTCAAGTGCACTTTCTTACTCAACATCCCTGGTCCTCATTAAGGTCCCTGACTGCACTTTCCCAGTGTCTTCCCCCCCCCCCCAGTATAGTCTCTTGATGTCCTGCTAGCACCAAGTGTATTGATTGTGGACCCAAGATGAAGTTGTTGCCAGTTTCAATCTTTTCTCTATCTATCATGATGTTGCATATTGATCCAGTGGTGAGAATTTTTTTCTCGACACTGAGATATAACCCTTACTGAAGGCTGCAGTGTTTGACCTTTTTCTCACAGCATACTAAAAGATTATTGATGAGTCTTCCTCCTGTCCAGAGTTCTGGTGATGTAGTGCTAAACCTTAGCAGCTAACTGAAAGGTTGGCAGTTCAGGTCCACCAGCACTCCTTGGGAGAAAGATGGGCAGTCTCCTCCCATAAAGACCTGTTGTTAGGTGTGACTAAACCTCCTTACATAAACAAAAACCGTATGAACAGATGGACACCTTGACCTCTTGACGAAGTGCCCTCCATCAATTAGCCTTATTTCTGCTCTGGTAAGGAACTGTGCTGCCCAAAGACAAGCAGTTAAAATCCACCAGTTGCTCCACAGGAGAAAGGTGGGCCATCCCCATGCAACTCACTGGCAGGTCAGCTGTGGGTCGCTGACTCAATGGTGCTTCTTGCAAGGAATGCACTAGAGAAACTGTAGGGAGTGCTAACCCAGATACTGTACCACCAATTGAGTAAGATGGAAAACGTCCACCCTCCTCGGGATCTGTGACCCCCAGAAAGCCCCTGGAGGGCCAGCTGTAAGCAGACTTTGACCTCACTTTGATGGGTCTCTTCAGTACTTTTTGCCAAAAGCTGACACATCTTCCTTCAGTACCAGCGGCTCTTCTTGAGAAGGTTCAGCATCAGTCTTTTTGGTACAGTGATCGAGCGCTTCAGTCTTCTTTGGATGCTTCAACATTCAGTCTTTTCCCTATAGAATCCCTCAATACTGTAACTCAAGGCTTGCTTTTTTCCCTTCAGTTCTTCCAGCTTGAGAAATGCTCAACATGCTCTTTGGTTTCTCCAACTCCACACATTTGCACATTTCAGTACGGTCTTGTAGCCACCAGTCTGAAACATTTGGCTCCCATTTCGCAATTTCTACCTTTTGATTGAGCAGACACCCTCTTGGCCTTTTCTTCCCTTTCTCACAACTTCACGTCATCTCACCTGCTCTCAAGTGCATAAGGCATCCCATTTCTATTCATGAAATGATTCATCATCTCAGGTGGGATAAACAGGTCTTATTTTGGTTTTCTGGACTTTTCCTTCAGCTTCAATTTAACTGGTCTATTCCAGCTGGCCCTCTGCCTCATTTTGACTGTGGATATTGGAAACGGGATAGATCAGTGCTGGAATCCACTAACCCGAGAAGGCAGCAGAAACACAAACTACTTCAGAAGCAGGTAGGTTCCTTCTCTTCCTTTAAAATGCAAGCCCTAATCCCATCAATGCAGATGGCAGTGAGCTTACCACCACTGACCATTCTCACCTGGTTAAAAATTTAAAAAGCCATTAGGACACTACTGTCCTGTAGCAGTACTCTCCTCAGTGGGTCACTCACTGAACCTTTCCAAGGCCTCTAACCAAGGTCAAGGTTAGAAACCATCCCACTACAGGAAATGCAACCTAGAGCTATGCTTCCCTGAGCTGTCAACAGCTACCTTTTACACAGGTTGCCAGTTCTTTAGTGGTATCTCAACAAGGTCTCAGAACCACTCCTCCAGTAGCAGTCAAGTCCTCTAACTTTCCATCAGCCAAGGACTGCTGGAAACCATACCAGATCCCTGGCTGTGCAAGGACTACTAGTAATGAAGCCTTTGTCTCCCAAATTAAGCAAATGCTTCAATGGTAAAGGCTTACAAGCTCTGCTTTTACCAGCCAGCTCTGTAGCTGCACTAGTCCTCTGCACGGGACCACATGCTGCCGGCTGCCACCCTCTTCAAGTCTAGAGCCATCCTACCTGACAATCAGAAGTTGGCAGTTTTGTCAGGTGGTGAACTATAGATTCTTCTAAGTCTCAACTAAATAAAACAAGTCTCAATTCTTTCAATCCCACCAATACCAAGTCCTATCTTTACATTTACTCCCCATACATTTGGAAATTCAAGTGAATATGCATGACAATTGAGGTCTTTTGAACTGTGATGTTACAAGTTCAACCAACCCCAGTAGCAAGGATTATGACACACTGTCACTCAACTTGGGGCACTATTTTCAGGAGTAACCAGTACCCATCATGCTGGGTCAGAAAATGTGATGAAGACCGAGTGATGGACTGAGGCAGTGACGGCAACAATGAACCTGAGTGTGACAGAGATCATGAAGGTGGTGCACGACTGAGGGTTACTTGTTAGGATTCATAGTTGAGGACCTAAATTTAAACTGCACTTAAAACTTGGTGAGCTCTGGTGGCAAGCTGCTGCACCACAATCCCAGAGGTAACACGGTTCCAATCCACCAGATGCTCTGCTAGAGAAAGGGACAATCTCCTCCTGTACCAGTCAGATCTGATTTGAGGTACACATGCCAAATAACAAAAACGACAAAACTAGCCTGGTTAGAATTCTGTACCTAAAGCTGAGATTTGTGGGTCTAGATTCAAACCTTTTGGGGTAATTGAGCTAACCGGAACACTCATGATGCCTTAAACGTTAACTGTTAGTAAGTCTTTCCTCATTAGATGGGACAATGAGGTGAAATCCCTTTATACAGCCCAAGGCTGCCTGTGTACTTAAAACCCTAGCACTAAATAAAGGTCAAAAAAATACACTATTTGATCTAATGCTATTCCAGACCCAGCAGCACCTATTTCTCAGACCCAACCCACCCAGCGCCCGATGTTCGTTGCTCTCATTCCAGAGACAAGCTGGTCCCCTTGTCATCAACACCAGCAGAGTGTCATAGGCAACCAAACTCAGGTTGGGGTTGTTCTCTTTGCAGGGTAGTTTCTATGCCAGCCCCCCGCTAGGTGAGACCCAGGAGCAACACTGTAGAAAACATCAGTCCGCCATCAGAGTTTTAGGACTTTAATTTGTCCCCCAAAGTCACTGAAGCAAAATTCAGGATAAAACATTCTGCTTTCCTTTACACCTGCCAACGCAAAAACTATTTGTAGGAAAAATGGTTTTGTACATGGGATGAAACTTAATATAAATTCAAAACTTACAGATAAGGGTTAGCTCTATCACTCATCTCTTAAAAAGTTTATATGAATATCCAGTCAAAACCAACAGGGCATTTCCCTTGAAATGTTATCTGAAGAGATTTCCAAGCCGACCAGAGCTGTCTACTGTTGCGGAATGTCCTCAGAAGGCTCTGCCATGACCTCAGAGTCCTTTCTTTCAAGTGGAAGAGGGAAAGAGGGAACTATTCAAACTTCGTCTTCTTTCCTTGTGGTTTGTGGTCACCGCCGCCTCCCCTGCCTCCTCGGAAGCCACCTCGGCCTGCAGAAGGAAAGGCATTACTGAAGAGGAGGTGCAGAGCTACTGGTCACCCCTCCTCAGAGTGATCAACACACCTGGGAATAAGACCCAGCACAGATCTCAAGGAGTCTCTCTTACCTCCACCAAAGCCGCCACGGCCCCGGCCTCCGAATCCACCTCGGCCTCCACCTCTGCCGTAGCCACCTCTGCCACCAAAGCCGCCCCGGCCTCCACCTCTTCCGCCAAAGCCACCTTCACCCTTAGGCTTGGCCCAGTCCAAGGTCACTTTGTTTCCATCAATTTCACCATCTTCCATGGCCTCCTTGGCAGCTTTCGCGTCCTCCTCACTGTTGAAGTCTACAAAACCAAACCTGAAATAAACAGACTCAAGTCAACACAAGCTGAGATCATCTTACCCACTGGACAGAGATCAAGAATCAGGCTTTGCTCAGAGCAGATACGGCAATGAACAAAATGGAGCGTGGTGCCGTAGACTGCTTTAACGACAGCAATGTCTCACAGAACAGCAGAGCTTCACCCCTGTGGAGGCAGGTAAGCCTTAGTAAGACTCTGTGAAGTGACTCTTCTTCTCGTGCGAATCCATAAACTGTCACTGATCGGACAGAAAGGAGCTCATTGAGAAGACTGGTCAGACCTGAGGCCCCATCAGGATGGTGGCAGCTCTGACGCTAGGGGATGTCATTACTGTAAACCTGAGTCACTCATCTTACCCTTTTGAGGAACCAGTTTCCCGGTCAGTAACTATTCTGGCACGAATTGAACCGTCAAATGACTCTTTCAAGGTCTCTTCGGTGGTCTCTTCAGACAGACCTTTGACAAAGAGGATTTTGGTTGGCTGGCCCCAAGCATTAGACGATCCCTTGGATCCCTGCAACTCCAACCTGATTGCTCTGCCCTCAATTTCTCTTTTATTGCAAGAATTTAAAGCTTCTTTAGCATCTTCGAACGAAGCAAATTCTATAAATGCATACCTGAAGACAGAATTAACTTTACAAGTTAAGTCACCAACTAAGCAGATTCTTCTAACATCTATATGGCAAGCCTTACACAAGTCCAACAGCCCTTTATTTTACAAATAATGAGAAATCACTCTTTTACCCTTTAGATTTGCCATTCTGGTTCTGTGGCACCTTGATAGCAGTTGCCTTCTCAAATACCTCCTGAAGAGTCTCTTCTGTTGCATTATAGGATAGGTTGCTTAAAACTAGAGTTTTTGATTCACCTACAAACAAAACAAATGCAAAGTATACTCACTATTTAAAATAGTCATTTCAGGTTTTAGTAATGGCCAATACTGTTTTCAAGAAGGGTCTTTTTCATAATGGGACATGAGCCCAATGTTGATGTATTCAACTCACTTGAAACTTGGCCTGCAGTCACCCCACCGACTGGCTGTTAACAAGCTCTACTAACTACGTTAATACATTTGAAGGACACTAGACTCACCTATTACAATTCAACCCAAAATGAGCAGATGTATCTCTTACACAGAGAAAGCACCATCAAGTCTTACTACCACTTTTCTGTGACTGTCACCTCCATCTAATTGTAGGATCAACTAAAAAGGATTTCCCGCTCCTCAGCTACGGCCCCAAAGATTGTGAGCAAGTCTTACCACTCCAAGTGCTCGCCTTTCCACCTCTATGGTCCTGATTTTGACCTTTCTCCCCAGTGTAGTACAGGGATATCGA